TTTGTTTGTTTGTTTGTTTGTTTATTTATTTATTTAATAAATTTAGATAGATAGATAGATAGATAGATAGATAGATAGATAGATAGATAGATGACAGATAAATTTATAGAGATTTTTTTTCTCCATATGTCCCTAACTGGTCTTTCAGAGCTTCCAATGGTGTATTCATTGCCATTGTAATTGAATCCATCCATCTTATGTAATGGGCTGTGAGAATAACCTTGAGAGACAGGAGGAAGAGCTGCAGCCTCGACAACGGTCTGATAAATGAAATCTGAGTCCAAAGCAGGAATGTAATTTGAGTAAGCATCTCAGAATTGACCCTTCCTAGTTCTCTGAAATGTAAAGGCAGGGAGGGGGAAGCGTTTTCAGACTTGCAAGATTCTGTTACTGTAACCTTACAGTAAAAGTACTATTAGTATTTATGATTTTGGTTTCCTGGTTTGGACTATCTCTGAGGGCTGACACCTTGCTATTGGTCATCCTCTTCTTCCAATGCCTTCATGGCTGCTCTTCCAAGTGTTAGTGTGAGCCATATATCTTGACGGCTTGTTTCTTTACTGTTAATGGTTGATCCTACAATGCAGAAGCTATCTACCACCCTGATATCTTCATTGTCAATTCTAAGGCTGGTTGTTCTACCTGTTGTCATTAGTCTGGTCTGCATGTTATTGGTTATTGTTGTCATTAGTCATACTGCATGTTATTGGTGTTTCTTCCTTCAATTTTAAAACCATGCTTATCTTCTTCCAAACTAGCGTCCCTTAATATTCAGTTGATAGGTTGATAAATAAGGATAGTGTATAGATTTGTCACACTCCTTTGTCACTCAATCTGTTTCACCATGTTCTATCTGTACTGTACTATACTGCGCTGTACTGTGGCTTCCTGACCTGTATATAAGTTTGTCTTGAGGACAAGGAATGTTCTGGGATTCCCATTTTTCTGAGCACTTTCCACAGCTTGATGTGATTGACACAAAGGACTTTCTATAATCAGTGAAGCACATAGTGACCTCTTTTTTGTATTCTTTTGCTTTCTCAATTATCTAGCATGCATCAACAATAATGTCTCATGTCCCTCAGCCTTTTTTAAAGCCAACTTGAACGTCAGGCATCTCTTTTTCCATGTAGGGCTCTAATCTGCATTGGATGATCCTAAGGATTATTTTGCTAGCATGTGAAATTAAGGATATTATATGATAGTTTGTACACTCTGTTAAGTCTCCTTTTTTTAGTACTGGAATGTAGATTGACCACTTCCAATCTGTTGGCCACTGTGTTGTTTACCAGCTTTGCTGGCATAGCTTGGTTAGAGCCTTGACTGATTCTTCTTCTGAGGCTTCTACTAATTTCTTTTTAGTCTTTTATTATCCTTTCTTTTTGTAATAACATTTCGTTCAGTCTCCATCTAAAAGTAGCAGATTTCCTTTTAAGAGTCAGACTCACCAGATTATGATCAGAAAATGTTTTTGGTAAAATTTCAGTTTTAGTTGTCTTATTTTTTGAGATCCATATCATGTCTATTTTTGAAAAGGATCTGTCTTTCAGAGAAGTAAGTATATTCTCTAGAATTGCCGTTTTGTCTAATCTGGACAAATTATGCATTCCTTGTCATTTGTGGAGTGCCATATCAAAAGTTCCCCCAAGACTCCTGTTCAAAACTACTACTGCCTTTTGAGACCGCTAACCTTTTTCTATGAATAAGTAACTTCTGTCATTCCCAAAGTCCTGAGACTTGGGTCCTGAGTGTTGTGTACAAGAGGAATCTTGTCTTTATGGTTTCCTGAAGGACAGTTAGTGAAGCATTGCTCTTTGCATTCCTTGCTGTTTTCATTATAGTATTTGCAGATGCAGGTAGGTGTTGTAGGACTGTGGGCGCCTATATCAGGAGTTAATGGGGCTAGATGAAGGGACTTATAAGCTACAATGCTGAGCATCTCTTTGGAGATAATTCAGATATGTGACCCCTCAGCTGGAAACTGGAACTTCTCAGTAAGAAGGGCTACATAATTTTTTGTTCCAGGTGGACATTTCTTGGACAATGATAGCTTTTCATAACTCTTGCTCTTGGTAATTTGTGCAACTGGTTTGGAACTCAAGACAGTCCCTTGTTTGTTTCTAGATCATTTCTGACAGTGTTTTCTTCTTCTTCTTTAAAGTTTTAACTGTGTGTGAAATTGCAGCATTGGAGATTAGCCATTCTGCTATCAAGAATTACTCCAAGTTTCTAACTGTTTCACATGGAGAATCTTTGTAATTTCCAAATCATTTGTTGGAGACTGTGGGACTGCGATGAGAGATTTTTTAAAAATGTGTTTCCTTCCTTCCTTCCTTTTTAAAAATTTGGACAAACTGTCAGCCTTACCAGGTGGACCAGACAGGAAGCACGACTAGATGAGCTAATTCTACTTTATTGTAAGGCTACATTAACAGAATCTTGCAAATCTAAAAATTCAATTCCCCCCTTATCTCCTTTACACCCCAAGAAATTAGGAAGGATCTCTTCTGAGCCTCTTGCCCCACCTACTATCCAGCTATGGACTATGCTGTCTCTCATCTGACCATTCCCAAGATAGCGTCTCTGGGCCCAGTCTCCCAAGGTCATTCCCACATACCATTACACACACATATACTTTGTCAGATAAACTTTCACACATGGAATTATTCTTTAACTTCATCATATGTATCACTGCAATTGCCATGCAAGAAGTAACTTTCATTGCCATAAATTTGGCTGTGCATTTTTAATATTATCACAGATCAAATGGTCCTGATTTCATACATAATCAGTATAATTATAAATTGATTTAAGAAATAGAATATAGAATATGAAATATCTGAAATAAATATTTTGTATATTTTTCTATACATTTTTATAATTCATAAATAAAGGACTTAGTTTGCACAATATTATACTACTTATTCAGATATGAATTTAGGTCTGACTTGTTAAAGTTCAGTCTAGTTAATTTGAAAGAACCTGTACTCACCTCCAGATTATCTAAAATGAACTATTTCTTGATTTACTTCTTAGATATGTTCTGTCAGTTTTCATAATAAGACCTATATTTTATAAAAAGTAGCTTCATAAACACAACACCTGTATTCCAACATATTTTTAAATGTTTCTAAAAAGGGCTTTTTAGGATTTGTCACAGACAATATAATGTCATAGGAAAGTCAAGTACTTTCTTGACTCTAAGTGTTCTACAGATCTAAAATTTAACAAAATAATTAGTGTCTTTTAAAAAATTAGTTCTGTTTATAATAGTTATTTCAATATATTTTCATCTTAACATGTTTTTTTTAAAACTGCCTTTCATGTTATGGTAAACTCTTATTTTTCTCCTTTTATTGTAAAAAACCAAGATATAAATAAAACTGTTTCTTATATACAAATATATCAACCAATGTATATTGTTAAAAACTATCCAAATATAGGTAGGTAGGTAGGTAGGTAGATAGATAGATAGGTAGGTAGATAGATAGATAGATAGATAGATAGATAGATAGATAGAAGGGTCAGATATTTGTTAATAAAGTTCGAGAACTAAAAACATATTTGTGAATAGCTTAATCACAGCTAATGATTTTCAGTAAACTTCTGCTCAAAATTTAAGCATAGTAATCCATTGTCTTTTTCCTTAGCTTCCTTAGTTGAACTGCTAATATTTTATCTTAAAAAAATCTCAATAAAGTTTACAATTTATTCTTGATTTGTATGAACATAAAATAATTCACTGACTTTTTCTGCCACCCTGAAAGAATAGATTAAATAGTTTGTTGCCTATTACAGAACAATAATCTTATATTTATTTAATTGCATTTTTAGTTGTAAATAATGACACTTTGATTCTTGCCTAAAGAAGTATAACTTGATACCTAAAACCTCCAATATTATGTGATATCAGGCCTTCCCTCTGCTGCAGACAGAAAAGCTATCTTTTTGAAAGAAGATGCTGAACTCTAGGGTAATTGTGAACAGAGGCTGGAAAAGAACTGGATTCATTCTCTCTCTCTAGTAGCCTCAGATTAAAGCTGAAATCCCAGGAAAAAGTTCTGTTCAGAAAAGCTGAAGCAGAGGACCAGACATTTAAAGTAGTAGTTATTTCTGCAGAAGTAAGTAAAATATTTACTCAGGACTTTGTGCTAAGTTTATTATTTATTTTTCTGTGTAGTACAAGTAATGTTTTGATTTCTCTGCCCAAATTATGAAATTGAGTGTATAACCTCAGCCTTTTATTATACTGTGTGAAGATACCAATTTTTGGTATCTATAGAATATTTGGGTAATCGGTAATATTAATTTGAAACAGGTCTCCTTTTTAGGAGACTGGGGCAAAGAATGAGCAATTTGTAGCAGACCTGCACCACCCTGTGGTCTGTTTGGAGCATGACATTTTCTTTTATATGTTTTATCATATCAGGACAGCTTTGGAATTTACTCTTCATCAATTCAAACTGAATTTACCTTCAGATAAAGGTAATAAGGGCTTTTATACTTTTGTTCTTAAATGCTCGATTGCTTATACTGCTAAGATTGGTCTGTTTCTCAAGGAAGGAACAAGCACTGAAACTTCTAGTCACACACCTTTATACTATACAGCTAGGAGGCTGCGCTAACTGAAATTCTTTCACCTTTTGGATTTTTACTTTTTAAAAGATAAAGCAGCACATGCTGTGAGAATCCTATCTCTCACACACAGCAGGGTTGGGGGTGGACACCAGTCTCCCTTGAAGATAGGTGGCAACTGCAAGAGCTATCAAGGCACTATTCCAAGCAGGAGATGAAGGAGGGTGTGAAGACACAGAGAGCTTCTGGGAGAGGAGATTTCAGACCTGCAGCATTCCATCCTGAGGCTCTGCCATTCTGCTTGAACTTGGTGCTTTCAAATATTTTTTTGAAAAATTGATGGGCCACTTTCTAAATTGTGTACTAACTGTGTTTAATTGGCTACTTTTCATAGAGTTTGATTCTTGAATAAAGCAAACCAGAGTGCAGTTAATATTATTAGCTTATGTTCTCTTCAATAACGGTCCATCTCAATAAAATACCTGTTTGGCCCATTCTGAATTTTCCTTAGGCCTCTATCCTATGCAATGAAATGCCTTCTTCAGTTCTGATGTATTAGAAGCAATTGGTGCAGTACCAACATGTTTAATCCTGTATCCACCACAGCTTCATCCCAGTGCTTTTTGGCAGGTCTCCTTTGCCTTCAGGAAACTCCTGTTCAATGTTTTTTGTATGCTAATTCATTCATCCAGATTCCCTTGTCATAACAATTTAAAAGAATCCAGTAGGCAACAGAAAGGCCTTTCATCTCAGTACTGGAATGCTGTCAGGAACAAGGTTGGGAAATTAATTTTCTATCTCAGCCCAGGTTCAGAGGCATTTTATTAATTAATTTATTTATTTAAAAGACTTACATGGCCACCCTTCTTAAGAAATACAATTCTGGGTGGCTCACAACAGTTGTATAAAACCAAACATCATAAAAACAATAAAAACAAAAAGCAATAAAAGCGAAAACAAAAACCTGGCACCACAACCAATCTCTTTCAATGCAGCCAGCACCACTATCTCCAAGCTCCAACCTCACCCTATCTCAGTGCTTGGGGGAATTTAAAACAACTCAGGAGCCACATACAAATAAGCACCCCTCCCACATGCATGATGCCTTGAAAATGCCAGTAAGTGTAACGATCAGACTAGCTGCCTGCCTGCCTGCCTGCTCCATGCTTTGAAAGGTTTTATCTCCTTGGACCTGAAGTCACTAATATTGGAAGCACCACTGGAGGACAGATGTGATCAGTAAAAGCAATGGTCAGGAGCATCTGTGCACAGCTCCTCTTGGCATACCACTTACATCCTTACCTGGAAAAAGCATTAGCTCAGTACCATTGGGGCATATTTAAAAGATATTCAAAATATTCCATTGGTGTAAAATGCAGAGACCAGAATTTGATTGGAATCCTATGCCTTTGTTCTGTCTAACTGGCTCCTCTGTATTGAAACCAAAAGCCCACATTTGAAGGTTTTTCTTCTGCCCCATGAATTGTCCATTATTAGAGTCCCCCTTTGATGCCCCACTCTATGCCCCATTGCTGTTGGAAGCTGGACTGACTGGAGCATGGGATAAAGATTGTATGGCTGCAGCAGTGCAAGTTGTAAAACTTTCTGCAGGAGGTTTTCTCTAAATCATTTTAGCAAACTTTGGCCCCTCCTATACACAAACTGAATTCTACAAAGTTAGTTTCTGTGACCAGTTGCCGCTATCTCCTCAGGACCAGCAGATGGGTTGGCCTACCCCCCCCCTTTTTTTTCCAGGAAGACAGCTGCAAATGGTGGTACTGGCAATGTAATTAGTTGAGGAACTGCGACTTAAACTGTAGAAAGTAACATTTGTGACTATTTATTGCAACAGATATACAATTGTCTGCTGCTTCTCACTTATGTATTCCAAGTAGCTATTGGCTGAACTGCTATGATGTTATGCAACTATTTTATTGACTACATTTGAAGCCAGATGGAAGTATTCAAGTTGCTTAAGTTTGAATAAATGTATTTTAATCTGGTTTTCAGCCCTGTTAATACAATATAGGAAACCTAAAAAGCCCATGGAAAGAGCTGAGCATTTCCCAGCAATTTGATAAAATTGCCAAATAATTTAGTTAGTAAATTATAACTGAGGATAGTAGCAGTAAGAGCTATTAAAGCAATGATCTGGTCTGTATAACACTCTCAGTAGTTCTCAACGTTTGCAATACCATGACCCCTTAAAATGAAAAATTAATTTGGACAACATCCCGTGACTACTACTAATTATTTCACTGGAGTCTGGGCTTGACCACTATGTCTGAGCCAACATTTTTTAAAAAGTTGGGACTCCCTTCTGACTTGCACGACTTTCCCAGAAGGTCCCAACATATAATTTGAGAACCTGTGCACTAAGTCACATCACAGTTTGGTACAGGTAATCCTTGTTTAGCGACTGCCTCATTTAGCTACTGTTCACAGTTACAACGGTGATGAAAATGTATTTGTGTAAATCCTCGCATTTACAATCTTTGCAGGTCTGTAAAGCAAAGGAAAGCTGAAGCAAGATCATAAGTACAGTTGCAGTTTTACTTTGTGACCGCTTCACTTGATGACCGAGTTGCCAGTCCCAATTGTGATTGTTAAACAACTACCTGTATAGCATGTTGTCTGAACTTAGGTCATAGATCACATTGGGATTAAGCGTCTTAACAAAAAAATGTTCTGTGGCTTGTAGATTAGCATACATTAAGCATGTCTCAGAACTCATGGTTAAATTACCTACTAGTCCTCCTCCCAAAATGATATGGGGTACAAGAGCATTCACCAACTTGCTCTTGAAATAGCTTTGCTGGCTCCATTTTGTTCTCATCTTAACGAGCCTCTGCTTTGAAATCAAAGGGAATGGAGGAAGAATTAGCTCTCCTCATATCACTTTTTATGATTTTCACATCAATCCACAATGGTTTTTGAGGAGTAGGGAGAAGGAATAGAAAAAGGTCACCCAGCAGAAAAATTAATAGAATACTGACAAAAGACAGGAAGCTGATTAACCAGTCATCCCTGGTTTGCTACGTCATTTCAAGCATGTTCACTCAGGAAATGGTGTAATAGCAGTAAATATTAATCATAGGATTACCATATCTGAACTGCAAAATCCAAACCACCACTAGATGGAAGCAGAGATATTAAAAACCACTAACTCTTTGCTCCCATTTAATTGTACAGCAATACAATTTTGCAACCCAGGTATACCAGTCCTAGCTAAATAAGCAAACAGGTAAGTGGGTAAGGTGCATAAATTGATTCAAAAGCTTAGAACATCACAATGCTAGAAACAATAATTGCACAAGGATTTTTTTCTGTGTTCCACGCAAATAAATTTGAAAGGATGCCCAGTTGATTTGATGAACCAGAAAGACATTTTTACAGAAAGTTATGGTCCCCCTACAGGCCAGAGTAACCATCCAAAGGATCAGCATACCATCATGATGCTTCATTTATTCACTTTTAATGACATTATAACCATCATCATCCTATATATTCCCTGAGGCGTTTTCTGAGATTTACAAAACAAACTAAACCATAAAAAGTGGGAGTACAAGTTATCTGCTATAAATGCCTGTTTCATTTTTTCTTTTTTTATGAGCAGAGTTTTCAAGTGTACAGTGATGAATCAGGTACCTGAGGATGTTCCACCTCTGCATGTGATTTATGATGCTTTCATAAGGATGCTTTTGGATCCTGCTGCTTTAGTCATGCCCTGCTCCTTTTGGTCGTGTGTGTCATTGCAACACATATACAAAAGGCGCAGGCCTTGTAGTACAATGCTGCAGCAAACTTTCATCTGTCTGACCCTCCTTTGCCTAACTTATGTGGATGCTGCTGGAAGCTTTTTTATCTGATCTAATTAACTAGAGCAGATTTTTGAAATTCAAAAGATAATTATAATAAATAAACGATGTAAGATTAATTCCCACTTTTAAAAAAAAATATCCTTCTCTTGAAAATATCAAAATGGCAGAAATTAGGAAGGCTTTATTTTTACAATCTAAGGATGTTTTTATAGTTGAAAAACCCCTCTAAATTATAGTACTATAATCAGTATTCAAAATAATATTAGTGCATTATGTCAAAGTACTACACAGTTTTTCATGAAAAATAAGGCTATCCTGCTCTAACACCATATCCTAGTTCAGTGTCAAAAATACCCTAAATACTTATTTTGGAAGTAAGAAATTACTAATTATTCTAGTACTAATCACCTACGGGTATGTTGTCAACATTCAGTGGGTCCAGAGGACAAACTTGCCAGTCTCTCTTATTTTTAACCACCATATAATGGCTTAGGAAAGCCCTGGCAATTTGACCCCAAAGCCACCTCTCATCTGTGTTCTCAAGAAACAAGAGAAAATATTTGCATGCGATGAGTGGGAACTCTACCATACAAGTTGAAATGTATGTTTGAAAGAGGAGGTTTGAAGTAATGTGGCAGAGCTGGGGACAACAGTATACTTCCTTGTGAGATGGGTGGTGTCCAAATTTGAAATATAAATAAATACATAAAATACCCAACAGCTGGGGTAGATCTTTGGGTTATGAAAGCTCTTCTCTAAGTAGCACTGTTCTTGCCACAATTTTCTCTCTCCCCCTCTTTCAAAGTCTTTGCAGACAGGAGACTAGAGCTCCGTAGTCACAAACAGACCTAATTAAAGATCTGCCAGAAGGATGAGCCACTTTTCCAAGCTATGATATGATAAATAGGCAAGCATCTAAGGAAGACAAGAGACCCATGCACATATTTTTTCTCAACATTCAGGGATGTAATCTAAGCATAGCTTGGCAGCAAAAGGTTCAAAAGACTGTCATCTGAGGAATAAACTTTCTTGTCTTGGAATAGTTTTTCATCATCTGCTGTTTTGTTTTCAAGAAGTAAAATCCTTATAAAACTCTACAATATTTTATTCTGTTCAGCAATACAGAATTGAAATGTGGCAGAAGGAAAAGATGCAGACTGAATACCCCAGGCCAATAGAAATCTACACTTCTATTCCATGTCTCTATCACAGTTAAATTTTGAGAACAGCTTGTGATGGAAGATCTAATAAAGTTAACTTTTCCATACCTCTGCTAAAGCCAACTCTGCACTTAAAGCAATCTACATTCTTCTAAGACCAAAACTTAATTCTAACACAACCTATTTGAAAATATATGCAGTAATTGACTTTGCTTTGTGAATTCTGCGTGAAGCTTAAGACATCCTTTTCCATCTGTGTGAGCTGTGAATTCCTTACTGGAAAGTCACGTTTCGTTAACTAATTCTCAGTATTCTTCCTCATTTGGTGAGATGTCCTATTTGCCAAACCCAATTGGACATTTCAAACCAGAGAATGTTCCATGAAATTCAAATAAGAATCCCTTGACAAATCTAGAGATTCATCAACACTAGGTTCACTATGGTCTGTCAGTTAATTCTTTTCCTAATGCCTATCTAGTGCAGAGTTATCCACAAGCAGCCCAGGGAAAATGCAACTGATTCAGTTTTGAGCATATCTGAAACAAACTTATGAAAATAAATTAATTTTGCAATCCTATTGACTCTTTGTATCATACCCTGATCTAAACCAGACACACCAAATACATTCCCAACAGCTGTAGCCACTGAATAGCAAAATAAGTGATCCTAGGAGTTGCATAAAAACATCTGAAGAACACAATTTCCCCCATATTTGCCCTAGCAGAAATAAGAGTTTTTCAATACTGTTTTCTTGGCTTTTTAAATTTTATAAGTGTGATTCAAATGAAAGATTTCATAATTAACTGCAAAGATACTGATGCTAAAAAATCTGGGGGGAAAATGCCCATCTTCTAGGCAGGATGCAAAGTGTTGAAAGATGAAACCAGTCTGAATTCAGACGAGTTACTTCTGGATAATGAATGGCATTCTCTTCTTCACAAATAGCAGAAATGAAGAAATATAGTTCAATTTTTGCTTCTGAAAAAACAAGATTGCTGAACTGCATGAGGAGGTGGCTGACCTCCACTTAGCCCTGATATGAAACTAAAGGTAACATGGGGCTTGGGGTGGGAGAGAAGACTTGAAGGTCCCCTTGGTGTGAGAGAAACACACACACAGATAACCCAACACAGAGGACTTTTCTGTAAATACAGTATAGTTTAATTTTGTCCAAAGTCTTTAACGCCTCATTCTGCTGTGGACAGCACAGTCTACGTGGCCTCTTGCCCAACTGGAGAAAGAGCACTGTAGTTTTGATCCCCAAATTACAGCTCATTGCTGCAAGCAGCAGGGTTTATTGTGTGCCTCCATTTTGGAAGGCCAAACTCAAGAGCCAAGGGTTGCTTCATGTCATATGAGCACAAGAAACACTCTGGCTCCCCCATAAATCTATTCAAATCATCTTTAACATCACAACGCAATAAGAGGCAGAAGCTGCAGAGAGAAGAAAATGGAGTCAAATGCTGAGCCATCAAGATACAATTTGCTGTTTCAGCCTTCAATGCAAGGAAACCAGAGCAGAGAGAAGCCCTTAAACCCAGGACACTTTTGTACAGTCATACTAGGAAGCCAAAGCAGAATCTCTATTAGAAGAATTTGACGCCCCGCCCATCATTCAGGGTGAATATTTCAGCCTTATGCTCCTGTTGTAAAGCCTGCAGCGCTCGAAGAAGTACTGATTCTTCCAAACCATGGAATTCTAGAAGAGAATAAAACATCCTTGGTTGAGAGAAACGTCAGCCACGCATTTAATACAAGATAGTACAAAAGGTTGGCTGGGGACAGCAGTGGGGGCAACTTACCCAGCTATACAGAGAATGCATAAAAGAAGATGTGCTGCTAGATCTCTGAGTTTGTATGTTATAAAGCACAGCAGCATGCTCCCTGCACTTGCATGGAATTCAATATTTATATAATTCTTTTAAATATCTAACCTTTAAGATTGTCAAGAAAAGCTTGATATTCTATGAACAATGCCAGACAAAGTCCACAAAAGTTTTCTTCAGTCAAGCTGAGATATTCTTGCCTTCCCAAAGCTCATCACCCCAATCTAGGACAGCATAAGCAATTCAGCTATTTACATATTTAGGCCAAAGAATTCACTTTTCAACCACAATTTATGGGCCATCCTGTTGCTTTGGTATAAGAATGTTTAAGTGCAGAAAAGGAGTACTCTTGGATGACCTCTGGCAGGACCAGGATGAGGGTGGTATGTCCATCCTTGCTCTTCTTGACCTGTCAATGGCTTCTGATACCATTGATCATGGTATCCTTCTGGATCAGCTCCAGGAGCTGGGATGGGTGGCACGGTGCTGTGCTGGTTCTCCTCCTTCCTCTGGGGTTGGCTCCAGCCAGTGTTGATAGGGGGAGGAAGGTCTAGCCCCTGGCCCCTACTTTGTGGGGTGCTATAGGGTTTGGTACTCTCTCCCCTCCTGCTTAACAACTACATGAAGCCATTGGGTAAGGTCATCTGGCAGTTTCGGGTGAGGTATCATCAGTACCCTTTATAGCTTTATATCTCCACCCCAGGCGGTCTAAGTGATGCCATGGAAGTTCTGTCTTGATGCCTGGAGGCTGTGGGGGCCTGGGTGGGGCACAATGGCTTCAGCTCAACCCAAACAAGACTGAGTGGCTTTGGGTGTTTGGACTTCATGGTTCCAGGACCCTCTATTTTTGGTTCTGGATGGAGTGACACTGCTTTAGACAAAACCAGTGCACAATCTAAGGGTCCTCCTGAACTCACAGCTCCTGCTCAAAAAACAGGCAGCAGCCATGGCTAGGAGAACCTTTGCACAGCTTTATGTTGTGCATCAGTGGTGGCTGTTCCTGGACTGGGAGACCCTGCTCATGGTCGCTCATGCCATTGTGATCTTCCAATTGGGCTACTGCCACACACTCTACATGGGGCTGCCCTTGAAGAACATTTGGAAACTTCAGTCAGTGCAGAATGTGGTAGTGTGGGCAGTTAATGGTAATGATTATTTGGTGCATATGGTACTACTGCTCCACGAGTTGCATTGGCTACCAGCTTGCTTCTGGATGCAATTCAAGGTGCTGGTAGTTACCTTTAAAGCCCTACATGGCTTGGGGCTAGGTTACTTACAGAACCATCTTTCTCTGGTAGTTTCTGCCCATCCTATCTGATCTGGCAGGAGGGGCATGCTGTACCATTGGCCAAGGAGTGTTGGCTGATGGGCCCCGTAGGAGAGGGCCCATCATCATCCCTCTAGAGATTAGGTTGGCCCCAACCCTGCTGGCCTTTTATAAGACCTTGAAGACCTGGTTCTGTGCTCGAGCCTGAGTGTGTAATGGAGCCCATCTCCTGGTTATGTTGAGGGTTTTTAAAATGATTCTCCAGATACTGTGTGTTTTATTCTTTGTTTTATTTTGTATCTGCATATATTTTTTATTTATTTTAATGTGAGCCACCCAGAGTCTTGTACTTGAGATGGGCAACCACATAAATCAACTGAAATAGAGAAATGAGTCTTCCTGGACTCATGGTTTCTGCTCTAAGAGCAGAAGGCAGCTGCTGCCAGGAGGGCATTTGCAGAATAAGTAATCCTACTTGTTAGGATTACATAGGAAGATTGTTGCAAAAACATGTTTAAAAAATCCACATAGTTCCCAAATTGTCTTTTTTTTTTCATTACTTAGCATAGCATAACTGGAACCAAGACAAATGTATAATCACTGAAGAAGAACTAGAACATAATCAAAATAATTACCCCACCTCCTGAACTTTCATTGGTGAATGGAAACAAATTAATCAGATAAATATTCTATGCATTAATCTGATTTGTAAGAATTAAAATACAATTGCATTTAAAAAATATGAAGTATATGTTCTGCTGTTCTGAAAACTGTTTATCCCTCTTTTCTTTGTTATAAGAAACTAAGATCAACTTTTAAAAATTCAGCAGAGGAAGAATGTGGATAGCAAGAAAGGTTCTCTGGGTTAATAATGAGACAGACTAGAAGAAAGACAATTTATCTCTCTTTCAACACTGAATAAAGGCTACTCAGGTGTCACACATCACTATAATGAGAAATGTACCAGATGGAAAGGTACCTTCTTCCTCTGTATCCTCGCCATTGGATAACTCATAGAGTGTGAAAACTGAGTTTGTCAGTCCATTCTTCAAAACCTGGAAACAAAGAGATGTGGGGAGAGGGGAGAGAAATGTAACACTCTTGATCTTTGATTTCATGATGAGTTTTATATTCCAAACTTTTTTTCCTGCTAAGGAAATTCACCACAATTTAATATGAACAAGACATGAAAGTACATCATAAACATTTATAAGCAATAGAATGCTAATAAAATATAGTCAGAAAAGCTAGAAAAAACAATTAAATCACCTGAGAAAATCAAGCGCAAGGGCGCTTCCTGAGGAAAAAAATTCTAGAGTCAGGGCATCACCAATAAAAAAGCCTTCTTTTCAACAGTCAACATCCTAACACCTGAAGACCTGACTTCCAGAGAAGAGTCTCAGACATCAATCTCATCTAGACAGACTCATGTGGAAAAAAAAGCAATCAACTGGCTTCCTGGGTTCCTACCCATGCGCTGCTTTAAAAGATAAACTGTAGCATTATGAAATATACTCAGAGAGAAGTTTCCTGCAAAATGATTAACAACTTGACAACTAGGTTTAATGTTAAAAAAAAAAAAAATGTTTCAAGATTTACAAAGCCATTCATGAAAAAGAATATAGATAAAATTTACTTGTCTGTCATGAAAAAGTGTACAGGTATTTTCTACTCTTACAACTGCACAAAACAAACCCAGGAATTCCATATCTTGGTCACCTGAATTTTCATTTAAAAATATGGCAAAAAGCAGAACACATTGGCATTGTGACGGTGAAGAAATGATAGAAAAGACACTGTGGGTGCCTGTTGAAACTTCAGATTCTGGGAAGGGAGAAAGGAACTGTTTCAGCATACCTTCACATACCTGTTTTCTACCAAAGTTTAATTAAGTATGCATTGTTACCCAAAAAAGTGTCACTCTTACCCACTGATAGATTAGCTTGCCCCATTCCTCTGGACACCGCCACATGATCAGAAAGCTAGACTTGTTCTTGTCAAGCCATTCAAGATTCCCTGGAGTGGAGCATAGCATATCTTTATTATCATTGTCTGCTAAAAACATGAGTCTCTTTTACATAAATAATGGATTCAGCCCCATCTATCCCAGCAGCCTGACTTACTTGCTACATAAATCTGCACCCCGTCCCTTAAGGCTGCATTTCTTGCCACACCTACTTTGATGTTAATCTTAATGAAATGAAGGAGATATACCTCCAATTAATTATATTTAGGGTTAGAGACGTATGTTATCCTCAAACCCACCTTTTTTCCTGAGCTCCTCTAATACAACAAGGATGGATTCCAATGGGAGTTTTCCTGTTCCATAGTTAAGGAAATACTGAGCATAGGATAAAAAAAGCATTCAAAGAAGAATTTACACAAAGTGTGATAAACTACTTAACCCAAGGTAAAAAGAATGAATTCAGGATTTGGGATTGCAACATTCAGGATGTTAATGCCAGCACTGTGTAGCCTCCAAAAAAATAAATAAATAAATAAAAATCATGCGGCACATACTCTAATCCTCCTATCAAGTGTACCATGCAGCTAACATCAGTGAGTAGTATCTGGCCATAGAACTGGAAGGGATGGACAGAATATTTACGACAATCCCTGGCCATGAAGCAGCCCAAAATTTTGATTGTATAAGCAGAGCAAGAAGCTGGCAGCAAATGTAATTAAGCTTCATGTTATAGGGATAACAATTTTGATATGACTAAAATTCTTATCTGAAATTCCTATGGAAAATTCCTATTGGGAAAAAATCAGTTTCTTTTAAAAACTACAGGAACATCAGAAAAATTGTCACCAATACCTTACAAAGCCAAATCTGAAAGCATTGCAGGGGGAAATGATTTTCTAGTGAATACTATTAAGCTGTTATTTACACTTTTTACAGTAACAGCTAAACTAAAACTAAATTACAGAAAATTTGATGTGCAAAATTCTTCATCAAATGGAGAGATATTCTGTGTAATTGTGTAATGTTTTCTGTTCCAAGTTACCAATATAATCTTGTCAACAACAAGCATTATCTGAGTCATTTTGTTTTTAACAGAAACCCCAGAGAAATGAATCTTAAGACATCTTATGTGACTGCAGAGCAGAGAAATGACATTTTCAAAGAGAGATTAAAATCAAAACATGTGTAGAAACCTAAAACTTGTTTTCCTCAGCAGAACTAAAAAAGTTTGTATTATCCTAACTTAAGGTGAGGCAAAGCTGTTTATCTAAGAAACAGAATTATTTCAGAAGGCAGTTCTATTCTATATGCTTTTCACCAAATCATGTAATTCTACATCTAGGGCCACTTCAATAGCATGCTCAGATAATGCTACAAGCTTGTATTACTTTGAGCTTGAACTTTTCACCCACAAAACAGCCAACTCTTTTATCTTCAGGAGTTAGATGAATTCCTTATCAGCTCACCAAGGCAGGTAAGACAGACTCACAATTGGAGAGGAAGGATACGCTGCAATTTCCAATTGTTGAAGAGTGGGCTCTCCTGAGCCTCTGGAACAGTCATAGTATAGAGCTTGTTGAGGCGGCAATACGAGAGCACTAAGGAACACCATGCAGTCAGCTGTTTTTGCCTCGTGTCCACATTGGGCTGCAACCTACAACACAAAAAGAAAACAGATGTAGAAGAAGACTAATCACGCCATCTCAGAATCTCAACAATTTCAAGTTCCAAACCAGAATCAAGACACAGAACTTCCAGAGTCCTACCCTAAGCCTTGTCATGTCACTGAAAATTAGATAGCTATAATTGACCAAAGATCAAAATCATCCAACTTCTCCCATACCACAAATAAACTAGTCCTGTTGCTTTAAATACCTCCAGAGCTGAAGTTTCCATAATTGTCAACAAAGCTATACATTCTTTATTATTTTTCAACCCCGCCATAAAACAATTTCTCAAAATATGATCTACAAATACATCTAACTTCATTTTTTTTCATGAGATTGTCTAGAGTCAAATAATTTAACTTGATTTTTATATGCATGGTTGCCAGTTTCATCAGCCTAAAAGGCTGATATTTTTGCAGCCACTCTCACCCAAATGATATCATGGATCCAACAGTCTGGCTGGAAATAGTCCACAATCCTGAACTGTAGCCAGCCAGCAAATGCCCTTCACATAAAAGAAAAAAAAAATAGTGTCAGTAAATATTAGGGGTTATCAGTTCAGATAAGAACTTGGTGAGCAAGAAGTACTTTATGCACTTCCTTTTGGCAGGCTTTGCTATTCACATGATTGTTTGCTGCTTATCAAGAAAAGGTGGCAAAAGGCTTCTCCAATTTAGTGTCTATTTGAGGCAGGTGCTGAATCCAATGAACCACGCTTCATAATTTTCATCTCTCTAATTTTTCTTTCCTCTTCTGCTCTGAGAATTTTCTTGTTCTCCAGATCTCCTGTTGTTATTCATCTCCAGTTCCCCTTCTTTTATTTTTCAGCTTTATTTCTAGCATCAAGACCCCAACTTTTTTTTTCCAAATCTCATGTTTATTTTTTGTTACTTCATTCCTTTTTTCTGCTTATTTGTACAGTGTATTATATCCAAGCTATCACTTACTAAAGTTATTGTTGCCTTCTCTGAGACTGACCCCTGTGCTCATGGAACTCGTTTTTCTCTTATCAAAGTCTGCCTTTTTGCTCCCTATTTCCCCATGTTGACATTATAGTTACTTCCACAGCTCTCTTTCAACTTTTTTTTTTTATTTTAGCCTATTTGGCTTGCTTTCCTGCTCCAACAACCTTGCTCCTTGAAGATACAATATTGCTATTACATTTATTCAATTACTTTCTGTCTCCTTTTCCTATCGTTCAGCCTATAATTTTGGATTAATTTACCTACAAGCAAGGTAAATTAATTGTAGGTGACTAAAATTGTAGTCACTCCATTGATTCAAGGACTGTTGTGCCAAATCTTTCTCTGTGGAATCCTCCCTCTCTAACCATTACCGTAACACTTTCAACACTGCACTTTCCTGTCTTATCAACTCAGTAACTTTCTTAGAAATATTTTCTTGTGACCTCATCAGACTGACATTCAGATCATCCTTTGCTTTCACACTAACAGATTTTTCTACCACCTACCAAATTGCTTGCCCAATTAAACACAGAATATCACTTACTTCCTCTATGTAATATCTACATACATGTTCCAACAGAAGAGAATATTTGTAGCTTAGGGTTGAACTCTGGAGTTCTTGGTGCTCTTGGTTGTTTGTTTGCAGACATTTCATTACCTAACTAGGTAACATTAACAATGCCCAGGTAGCTGAATCTTTCTAACGTCATCATGTTCCCAGGTGGCTAAATCTTTCTTAAAAGTACATGTTCTCCCCTTCTACTATTTATTTGGTAGACAATTACAGCATCACCCTATCCTATAACCATTCTAACAATTACTCGAATCTCATTCCTAGTTGGTTGCCCTCTTTCCAGTTATTCTACATAATTTTATCACCCAAATTCCCTCTACTACGTGGAACAGACAGTATGGAAATATTTGCAGGAGAGAGATTTGCTTTGTTGGTGAGTCCAACTTCTTCTCCTTAGATAACATATGCTCCTTCATCTCAACTAAAACTTTGGTTCTTGCTCTATTCACCTCCATCTCCCATAATGACTCTGAAACCCTCTCCTCAGGGTCTTCACTGCTGTATTCAAAATTTTGCTATCAAATCTTTCATCACTCTAGATCATAGGCAGTCCCTCAAAATCCCTTACAGGCTTCTTATTCAAATCCACTCTTTGCCTTCAAATTTAAAATTCCATACTTTTCCTCATACCTTGTTTTTATGCAATTCTTTCTCATTATACAAAATATACTCTTCCAACTCTACCTGCATTCAACAACCCTTACCCTCTATCACAGTTCCATCCATTCTTCTTTGTGACCTCCTATACTTAAAATCCCTTTTACAAATCTTGGTGTCACCTATTTCTTTAAATATTTCCTTGAAACCTACATCTCTTCAAAACCTTTGCACAATCTGATATTCTTACTCCTGACGCTAGCCATGTTTTAAATACATGTAGTTGCATTTTCCCAGTGTATCCTCTACAGTCCCTTGTCTTTTCATTCAGCTGTTTTCCCACTTGATTATTTCAAGTTTAAATCCTTGGGAGCAGGAGTGTTTTTGTGAGAATTGGATTGCTTATAAAATGCAATACAGTGATGACATTCTATTAACAACAGTAGACAGACCAGGTCACACATTCCATTTTGAATGCAAATATATCCTAATTTTAATTTGTTTCAAGCCAGAACACAGAAAAAAAAATGGATCCCGTTAATCAAGCCAGTGTTTTTGTTTTTATTCATTGATTAACGCAAGGATGGAAAACCTGACACCTTGTAGCCGTTGAACTACAACTCCCAATACCTCTCACCACTAGTCATGCTGGCATAACTTTGAGTTATAGCTCAGCCACTTGGGGGAGGAGGGAATTCCCACGGTGAGCTGATTTATTATTACAATTAATGCACGGATAGAAACTTTCCTCCAGAAATCTCTAATTCAAACGCTCCTGGCAGTTCAGCACCGTCAATTGGGGGGAGGGGAGGGAGAGAAAATCACCAAAAAGCAGCACCCGGAGCGCAACCTGGCAATCGTTTCTCGAGAGAAGGCCAGAAGCAACAGCCGTGGATCGCCTCGCTCCGTTCAAAGCAGGACAAGAGGGGGAAGAAGGACTTTCTGCGGAAATCAGGGTTCCAGCGGGGCACCTTCAGCACGTGCACCCACCCCGTGCCTCGGAGGAACGGACGAGCTCCTTAAGCCCAGGGCCGAAGGAAATTTAGAATGGGGACGCCCCGGGACTCACGTAAAGAATGGCGGGAAACTGTACTGCCAAGGCCACTCGAAACTCATCATCGCCTCTGAGGCCGAACGGAACCTCCGCCTTGGAGGACCAACTTCTGGTCCGTTCTACAAATATTTCCTCTTCCCTTCCTGCAAGCTCCTTTAGGGGGTTCCGAGAAAATGCAACCCCGAATGCGTCAATAGATCTATACAATTGTAGAAGCTTCCGGTTTGGGCTGTGTCGCCTGAAATGTTGTTTGAACTTTGCTTTGGAGGAGAGGCGCCGCGCGCTTGCAAGTCTGTGGAGCACACGGCTTGTCAGCTGGCAACAAGCGGCTGCTCAGTCCAGTGGATGTGAGCGCTGGAAACGTTTTCTAAGCAGATTGTCCTTCGATCTACTCGGTTATGTAATTTAGCAAGAGATTCCCCGCCTGCATCCAAAGCAGAGTGTGACTTGGTGCAGAGTGTGTATTAAAGTTTCATTAAATATTTGCAAAAGCTTTCTAACAACGTGAACTCCAGCCTGTTCACTTTTTTTCCTACAGTCGGCGCGGAGCTGAAAATCCCTTTGCAATAGCGACACTGACGGGGGACGGCAGTGAAAACGTTCTGTATTAATCCCTCCTATCAAAGTCAAAATCCTCAAGTACAGACTTTTCTCTCTCTCTTTTGAACACTTCCCGAGAGTTTAAAATAAAAAGGAAAAATGTCCGAAGTTCAGTAAGAAATAATGGAGCCTGGGAAGAGCAATTGAGATATCTGAGGTCCATTTAAATCAGCTCAATCTAACATGTGACCTACAAATAAAACATGGATTGGATACTGAAAAAAACATGGAATGAGATCAAAGGTATAAAAATAAAACAAAACTTTCCACAACAGAATGTAAAAGGAGCAAATTTTAAGATTAATGTATACTCGAAGATGTTTGTGATACTGGTATGGCCAAAATCTTTTTTGTAGTACTGTACAATGGACTCAGGCAAGGTAGAATATAGGGATTTCAAGTATGCTATTTCTAATTAATATTTCTGACACACAGTGACTTGGGCTGCCCCAGGCTGATGCACTGGATTTACAATGTGAATTGTAAATTATCTTTGTTCATTTGCCTTTCTCTAACTGGCTGCTCAGCTAGATGTTAGCTTCCACTACAAGAAAAGAGAATATATATCAAATAGGAGAGAAGAAATTTAGAATTTAAAGCACATTTTCATAACAAGCAAAAATGCTGTCACTTTCTTGTAACTGTAGAAATTAGATTGAATAGAATGGATAGCTTTTATCCTAATAGGGCAGGGCACAAATATCATAAGTGGCCCTATTGTCTTGTGTGAAAAAAGCAAATCTGGCTCAGATTTTATCATGTTGACAATAGCATTTAGAAACCCTTAAGATTAATTCCACATTCCAGTTGAAAATGACCAGCCTGAGATATCAATTGACAGGCAAAACAAATGAATGGAAACTATACTGTCTGTAGAAATGCTTTCCCATCAAACTACTTGGATGGCAGTGAGAACTTAATTCTCCATCATTAGTCCATTCTATATTGGGATCAGAGATTTATGCTCATTGCTTGCCTTTCTACCTAATTACACATTATATGGAAAATGTGAAAAACTGTTTTAAATATGTTGTTTCTTTCACTTTAACTGAGATACAGAACCCAGCCACTATGGGTTTTCAGGAAGAAATCTTTCCAGTTTGATCTGGAGATGATGGGCGCTGAACCTGGGACATTCTGCATACACAACATGTGCACTGAGTTACACCTCCTTTAAAAGAGATACTATATTATAATGCATTATGGAAGAGTGCGTTGTAACCATCTTATTTGGAAGCAACTAGTAGATCTGTACTCTGATTAGATGCAAACTCTGAACAGAAGGATTCAGAGTAATGTTTAATTCATCCAAGGTGGAATGGATATCTCTAACTTGCTCCCCCCATTATAAAGTTTTGCCTTTGATATGTAGTTCAAAAGCAAAACTTTATAAGAGTATAAAAAGGACAATGGGTTGCTTTGCCTACTTACAAAGTGAGATTTAAAAAGTAGCATTTTTGGCACTTGCTTATGCAATTCCTTGGTGGGGAGAGAGACCATTAGAGGAGTCACAATAACTCTTACAATTTGTTATCCTAATCACAGTCTTTTGGAAAAACTGCAAGATCATGAGGTTTGGAAAGAGATGTTATATTCTCTGTTACTGCAATCACACCTCATTATTCAGGACTGTTTTCTGTGCATTGTGTAGGTAGCAATGCTCTTTCTTGTTATCAGCTTTTTAAAAGCGTCATTTATTTATTTATTTATTGTGTAGGTAGCAATGCTCTTTCTTGTTATCAGCTTTTTAAAAGCGTCATTTATGTATTTATTTGTTTGTTTATTTATCAAATTTGTCACCACCCATCTCACTGAAGTGACTCTGGGCGGTTTACAAAAGAGATAAAATCAATTAAAATACAGTATAAAAACAATCTTAATAAATTCCAAGAATGATGGAGAATTGATAAATAACTTGGGGAGCGCCATCAGGGCGCTAACCACCCCCAGGAATGATTGAGCTCCTATCACCCCCATGCAAGCTTGCAGAGCCAGGTCTTTAATCCTTTCTGGAAAGCCGGGAGGGTAGGGGGCTGATGTACCTCTGGGAGGAGAATATTTCAAAGGGTGGGGGCAATGGCAGAGAAGGCTCTCCTCTTGCTGACGGGGTCTGCAACATGCCTTCTCTGCCTGTCTGGGTGGGTAATGCGTATCTTCCTTCTGCACTTGTCCTGACTTGCAGTTTAACAGGACATAATCATACCCAAGTAACACCAATCTTCTCCCTTGCTCTCATTGCGCTGACCTCACCTTATTGATGGCCCATGAAAAAAAAAGCCTGAATTCATAATTAGGTATACAAGTACAGTATTTTCCCCTTTTAGCTGCTATCAAAACATAACTTGAAGGTGTGTCAAAGCATCTGTAATGCTTTGCCCTACATTATTTTGGAGGAGAAGTTAACTTTATGGCTGTGACTGGGGGTGTATTTGAAGAGTACAGTGGTACCTCGGGATACGAACGCCTCTACTATCGAACTTTTCGGGTTACGACCAGCTCCGACCGCAAAAATTTACCTCAATGTGCGAACTCCGCCTCGGGATACGGTCATTTTTCCGCCCTGACACGTGGTCCACGGCCATTTTCTC